AGAAAGGCCCAGTTATGACAGAATTGTGTGAACACACCACTGTGGCATATGTGAATATGCTTTCATTAGGAGCAATAAAATGTTGTACTTGTTTGTCATCAAGTGTCTGCTAAATGTCTTTTGTTCAGTGCAAAGCAGCATCAAAGGGAAGAAACTGGAACACCAGAAAGTGAAAGAGTGGAATAGAGTAATACTTCAAGGTTAATGCTGTCAATGGGTGAAGTGGTTTAGTATATAACTCTGGTGATCTTAAGATACCTCAAAAATTTTTTACACAAAGAGTGAATAATACGAATTGGAGAATCAAAATATACAACTGCAGAAATCATTGGAAGCGGAGGAAGACTTTGGTAGGAGGATCATCAGCAGGACTATCTCAACTAGTAAATAGTAATAAGATATGACATGAACAAATGTACTGATTAGCTCAGAGGAGTCTAAACCAAGTCCTTTGGTTTATTATGTTTCATGGTTTAAAGCTATATGCTTTAACACCAGTATACTAAAAAGCTTTTGTTGTGTGATACATAATTATGCCACATTGTATACATATGCTACTATTAGTGCTGAGAGATTTGCCTTGAAAAAGGCTGTAACTTAAAACCACCAAACTTTATTAGATGCAAAAAGGATTACGTAATCAAATTTTTCAGAGGCAAATACACTGTGACATAAAGCAACCATTAATAAGAGTTAAAAAGAAACTTACTCTCCAGGCCAGTCCTAATTGTTAATTGCAGTTTCTTGATCTTAGTGGCAGCCAGTGGAGAGGCACCATTTCACAGGGATGGGTCAACGGTACTGGTGTCAGTGATGTGTCTCTGGGTTTGTCATATACACTATTTTAAATGTTAGCATTTTGTAATTACTTCACTACTGTTTTGGGCTACAGACAAGTAATGCAATGAACAGATGAAAATTTGCTGAAGCAGAGGTGCAAATGCAGAGAGTTCAATAAACTTATCTTGCTGGATTGAATATGTCTAATTACCCTAAAGGGGATAGAAGCATCAAGATGAGGTAAACATTTAAGCTTCAGTTAAACTGCTAGCAGAAAACAGTTTTGGACACTTTATAGCTTAGGCTACCTTACAAAATCAGCCTGTGTGAAAAAACTGAGCAAGAAATCTGTGCTTCTCTGTTGCATAGTGAGAACTGGAGTGCCCTAACTGTCCTTCCACACATCTTAAGAAACTTTATCAAGTGCTTTATGCCTTGAGCAGGCTTGTTTGTAGTTTGACTAGTGGTCAAAACCTGTGCTGCAGCACACTCTTTAAATCTCTTTTCATCTTCATGTACATGGGTTTGTTGGATTTTAAAAAACATTGAACTTGTAAGTAGTTTGAAACCCACAACTCTTTGTCTTGCTGACAGGTTATCACTTCTCCTTATTTTCAAAGTCTGTTTCTTCTTTCCCCTCCTACTTCCACAAAATCTTGTGTCCCTGTAGTCCTGGACAGCAATTCCTACTCCTGTTGGCTTTTCTCCCTGAAAAGTGACCTGGAGCCCAGTGGTATGATCATGGGGCTTCACATTTCTTCTGAGAAATATTTAATCCACACATCTCTCCAAGGCAAGTGAGCAAAGCATTAAATTAGTGCTAAGATCTTTGCCAGCACTGATTTAAGTAAGAGGGACATAGTGTATTATGTGATTGGAATTTAGGCCAAGCAGGCAGGACATGGAGGTTAAGGCCATTGTGCAGCAAGCTCTGGGAGGAACAGCATGAGGCAGCAGCATGTGGTTGGAGAATTTAGAATTTACATGCCTGTTTGCCTAGAGAATGCAGTGGCAGAACAAACCTACTCCCAGTGTTTAGTCAATGCTTGGTAATTTTCCTGATACTCTCCTTAGAATGATTTTTTTGAATCAAACACCAAAATTCATTATTGAAATTTAAGAGTTGGGAGAAATCTATTCTTGGGGATTGTATTGCACTTTGTGCTGTGTGACTCAGTTTTGTTTGTAGTGATTCCCTACAGTTAGTACCTATTTTTAAAGTACCCTAGATAATAAAATCAGTTAAGAGCAGCAGCTTTTTGTTTATAGTCAGTTCCATGTGTTGGAACTCTTCTCAAAACCATGAGTACCTCCTCCTGCATTTGGTTAAGAAGCTTTAGCACTTCACAGTCATCCCACTACATTCATGCTGCTCTGAGCACACAGGCTGGGACATGGAGAAGAAGGAACAGGCTGGGGCAGGTGGGAGGAGAAAGCTGCTTTCCTTGGGCTGCCTTGTTACACTGTGATTTTTGGTATTTGTTATGACATACATGGAGTTCAGACCTGGGGACCCTTTTCCTTTGCCCTCAGCGTGGTTCCTGGGAAGAACATAATGAGATGCTATAGTTTCCACAAAGAGCTTAGGATTTACATAGATTTAAAACCAAAAAAACAGTAATTCAGAAGCAAGGAAATATAAATCAATTTAAATAACTTGCCTGAGGTCAAATAGCACTTCAGTGGCAGAGCCCCAAGCGAAGTCCAGGACCTCTGTCTCAAGGCTGGTGCCCTGTCCCAATGTCTGTTTCTTTTCACAAGAAGCTGGTTTTTCAGGAAGCTGAAGATTTAGGGAAGTCACCCTCTGCTTTCCATTTTGGTCATTCTTAAAGTACCTCTTGATAACTGCTCTGTACAAGTAAGCTTGAACTATGAATCAGCTGAAATTACTAAAAAACACTGATAATGTACCAGTATTCCTTTAGAAGTTGACCTGCAGATAAAAATGGTGCCTTGCACATGTCACATTATGCTAGGGATCACTGGATTCTGCTAAAAGTCACACAGGTAGTAAAACACTGAAAAATTACTAATCAGAAGTAGTGAACAGTTTAAAAAGAGCATGAATGTGCTCCCATTAAATATTCATTGAAAAAGCTTGAATAATGAAAACAATGCTTAAAATAAAAGACTGTTAGTAGATAATTAATTAAGAAAACAGTAAATTGGTCTTAAATTGTTTGCTATGGATAGCTAGCCCATTTAATAAGAATTATCATCATCCAGGCAAATGGCACATAGCTAGTAAATAGGTTTTTCTTGGGAACTCGCTAGAGGGGAGAGCAGCTCTCCACACATCTAAGTTTTAGTCACTTATCATTTTGAAGTCAATTCAGAGCTTCTGGCAGTTTATGTAATCTTAAGCTACTCTTCTCACCTTTGTTGCAGAATTCTCAATCATGTTGAGTCCTTTTTAGTTAACATCACTGCTTGATTCATTAAGAAGGAAATACAATTTTAGTAACAAGGTGTGCCTTTGGCTTTGAGTTAACATCTTGAGAGAGCAGCTAGGTTTTGTGCCCATCACAGGGTAGATGCTTTTAAAACTTTGCTATTAAGAATCAGTTCAAATAACATGGTTTTGGCTGGGCACTTTTCCCACAGTTTACAAGGCTGGTGATAATCCATGTGTCCTGCCCTGTGTCCCCAAGAGAGAAGTGCCTGGGGCATCTTGCTAGGCCCAGAGGTGGCACTGGAGCCTCCATGTGGCGCTGTGTTGGGAATGGACCAGTGGCTGACTCTTGCCACACTTGAGTGCTTTTTGCCAGAAGGATCTGTCTGACCATTCTAGGAAACTCCATCCCCCTTTCTTTTTTTCTCTCTTGTTCAATAGTTTAGCAGGAAAAATAAGGTATAGAGTGGAGAAACCTAAGGATTTAGGAAAGCATATGCTTCCTGTCATGCTCTGTAGGACGAGATTCTGGGATCACGTTGTCCTTACCCTGGTCTGATTCCAATTACTGCCACACATTTAACATTAACTATACTCCAGTATTTAGCTAAGTGTGAATTAGGTTCTCCTTAAGCCTTGTGCATTTATCAAGTGAAGAGTAAACAGGATTAGTGGAAGACAACTAATAAACCAACAATAATAATATGTTAGCTGCCTTCTCCCTACAGCCATCTTATTTCCTGCTGCCTTTCCTATGGGATTACAGGTATTCATCAGCATTGTCAGATGTTGTCCTGGTATGTTCCTACAGGGATTCCCTCTGAGTTCAGTGCAGCTTGCTCATGTCTTTAGTCTGCAGTGTATTCCTGAGTTAGGAGAGTGCAAAGAAATTATCTACAGGAATTAAAAGGAGAGAAGTGTTTTGTCCTGGGGGGGTTTTTTGGGTTTTTTAATGGGTGAGAAAGGACTATGACAAAAATTCTGCTCTAGCTCATGAATGCAACCCAACACCTGAATAACTGAAACCAGATTTTGGCCCAATTACTAGAAAGTAATTCTTGTCCTGTCTTTATGACCTGTACTGCTGTTAATAGGAAGCTTCAACTTCATAAAAAGGAATAAATTTCAGCCCTAACTCAGAAGTCAGTTGATAAGGGGAAATGTTTTAACTTTAAAAAATACACACCCCACTCACTGAACCTTTGAGACCTGCAAATGTTAAAAAGAAAAAAAAAAAGTGCAGCAGCTGCAATTTGAAAAACAACACTGATGCTAAAAACAAGTAATTTTACTCATAAGTACCTCATAGCTTATTTGCAGATAGTTGTACACTCTGAGAAGAAGAAAAAAAAAATAGTAATAGGCCCTAGGTCAGCTGCATTGATTTAATGCATTACTTAGGCTGCCAGAGCAGAGGTAGAATCTCCTCGCACTGCATTAGGAGCGCCTCAAGCCTCCGTGACTCCTTTTGATCAAATCTCTGTGAAAGATGAGTGTCATGCCCTCTTCAAGCCAGCTGTGAGGGGACTGCCCTGCGACTGGAGGAGCGCGCTGGAGCACAGCACTCCGGGGCAGCGAGGTGAGAGCTGGCTGCAGAGGTGAGAGGCAGACACAACTTCGTACTGTAGGTCTGGAGAACACCAAGGGGGAGGATCTTATTTCACTCCCCTGTGCACAGCCTGAGCATACATCAGACCTTGAGGTGCTCAGAGTCAGACAAGAGTAAAGAGGCGTGTGATGGTTCTTCTGCCTTAGTACTTGTACAGGCAGGAGTCTTTCCAGTACTTCTTTGTACAACTCACTGAGGGAATGGGAAACTGTTTTATAGCTCTGGAAACATAAGCACAGTAAGAATGTCTGAGGTAAGGAAAGTTCTTTGCAGTTCTATATGAATGTATGTTTTTGCTGTGCAACTTTTTCTTGTGGCTATGCACTGTGGAGATATAAAAAATGTTGCAATGGTGTTGTTTTGGGTAATGAACAATGGAGATGAGAGCTGTAGGGAGCTGTGCTCTCCATTTCTTAATTATGAAAATATACTGTAAAAGTAAAAAACTAGTTTCTGTAAAAATCTGGGGTTTTTTTCTGCTGTACACTGTAAACAACTGTGTGACTTTCCTGTTCTACAGTAAGTAATGCAGAATTACAGCCTGATTATAATAAGCAGAGCCATCACTTGTGTAATTGTTTTCCAATTGAAGTAGTAGCATGTAAATCATAAATACTTGACAATGTTTAATTGTACAAGTCCTCAATATACATTAATAGCAGTAAAATCTGTGATTTGTGACTCAGATGTGTTTTGAGTCAAGTGCTTTAACCAGATACATTATCATTATCATGATGTATAAATGTACTAGAGAGCAGACAACAATGTAATCTCACTACCAAGTTCTTTAGAAATTACCACTGAAGTGGAGTGTAATGTATGCCCTTTATATACAATTTATTTTTGACTGTTTAGCACCCAGAAAATAAGGCCAGCAATTCTTTTCTTAGGATCAGTCTGTTTGTATTTTGGGGCGGGGGGGGAAGGGGGAAGGAGGTGGGTGGGTTTAAGTATGAGTGTGTGTGTGTATGGGGGGGGTCTGGGTTTTTAAATATATTGTTCTAATTAAGTGTCTTGTATTGTGATGCATTTAACTTATTTATTTGGATTTTTTTTCATCACATAGAAAAATAAACATGGATTAATTGTCAGCTCATACATAATGAGGTTTTGTTAGATGTGTTTAAGATACAGCATTTTACTTTCTGGTTTATTAATTGGTCAAATACTTCCAGTCCTCTGTGTAACGAATTCTTGGTTTAAAAATGAGGAGAGGGCAGATCACTAACCCAGGGGAGGACTACTGATATACACAGGCTGTGGTTTATCCTTCAGTAAAATCCTACGGATAAAAAGTGACACTATTTTTTCTTTTTCTTTTCTTTTTTTTTTTCTTTTCCTTTTCTTCTTTAGATATTTTTCAGTTTGAATAACCTGGGAGCCAGGCAACATTCTGATATTTTGGGGATGTGGGAGAGAGAAAATAAAACAGACTAGTTTTGTTTTAATTTAAAACAAACCATTGCTTGAAAGGCATTTAACAGTCAATTTTCACATCTGATCCGAAGTTGGATTTTATTGTGCTCATTTAGTTGAGATTGTTGTTCAAGCAATTCCATATAAATTTTTGTAATTCATGTAACTACTTGGCTTCTTGAACCTCGGGAGCTGATTGTTTGTCTTATCTTTTGGTGAGCTAACTCTGCGTTATGTTGCAAAACCTTGGGGCATGTTGTGTTTCTTCGTGTTCCTGCAGTCTGCAAGTGAAGTCAGCTTCATTAGTTTCATGATGGCACATCAGTACACATGGCTGGTGTTGCCGCTTCCTTCAAGCTACTCCCGGAGCATGATCTGGGCTGCCTTGGTTTGGATAAGCTTGTAAGGATTTGTCAGCCAGATGTGACAAGATTGTCAAGAGGCAAGTAAAGAAGGAGATCTGATATTAATCAGTGCATAGCTTGGAGCCAAACTTTCTCAAATGCAGTGTAGTAACATGTTCTTCTCATTTACTGCTTCTCTTTGTGGCTATAGAACTGCCACTGTCTGAGTTTGACGGTTAAAAGGGATGCCAGCTAATAGTCTTTAATTGTAAGGATACAATTCTAGGTGGGAAAAGATCATATGCTTCTATTTTTAACATCCTTTTGGAAAATAAGTGCAGTTTGTTGTAAGATATGCAAGCGTTATGTTAGACAAGAGTCTCTGTTTCTGTCCTTTGCTTTTAAAACAGGGAAATTGTGGCTCAGGTCTCAGTGCTGGAGGTGGGGGAGTCTCACTCCACTCCAGGTCATGGGGCAAAGTGGGTCCACCATTATTTTAACTACTAACAACAGTGTGTGTTGGTTTGCTTTGTTCTAGTGATTAGAAAAATATACCGTGAAGAATACCTTTCTGATTGCTCCTTTTACAGAAAAGGGAAAAATACGGACTTTTGAAGAACATATCGCGTATTCAACTAGATTTACCATTATGTGAATAGTATTGATAGTGGGGTTTTTTAATGATCAGTATAATTGTGCAATTCTGTTTGAATTAAGCACTAGAATTTTGAGCAATTTGCAGCTCCATCAGACTTTTAACAATAAGTGAACACATAAGAAAGTAACAAATCTTATGGAAAATACATTTTTGTTATACTTCATATACATATGGATTTTTGCTTGATTGATTTCTTAAAAGTAGTTATTCTGTTTATTCTTTAAACTACTGAACCAGTTATAACCTATTCAGTATTCTAAGAATAATGGTATCTGTAAACATATCCAAACATTCGGAAGAGCTGAATTTTCACAGAAATAGGAAAAAATTATTACAAATATAGGGTCACTTCATGGGCTTTTACTTGAACTTCTGCCTTCTGAGGCTGCAGCGAGGTTTGGCTTTTGATACCAAATGTCTTGACTTTCAGCTTCCGTGTTTGTTCGTGATACTGTTAAAAGATCTGTTCCTACATATTGAGCGTGTCATTCCATTTCCAATCCAAGCCACTGAATTATTTGCAGTAATAAGGACTTCATTACAATGATGCTAAGTACACCTCTGATAAAAACAGAAATGTTCTTTTTTTCATTTTAGATTACAGCTTTCGTTTCAAATATGTGTTCCAAAAGCATTTTGGGGTGATTTGGCATTTACTAAATATTTTTCATGCAGATTTGAGCTGGAGTTTAGGTACGGATCTTGAATTCATTATTCCGCAAAATATCCACCAAAAGTAAGGAAGAAAAACTGGGTTTTTTCCCTCTGGGTCATCTCCTGTCCTTTCTGGTTTCAGTGGTGCAGGAACCCTCACAGTTCCTGTGTGCTGGAAGCCAACAGGTTTTGTCCTAGCAGATGCTACCGTTGAGGTTTATAGCAAGTGTCATTGCTGGTCTTTTTAGTTTTTATTTCTTATTGTTTTGTTGGTGTCATTTAAAAAATCCTAGAGATTGAAATTTCCATGTTCAGACTAAAAAAAAAAAGTTTTCTCGAGCGAATGAGGAAAAGTGTCAGTTTTTAACAGACTTCAGTCATTTTAGTATGAAGAACAATATTTCATTCCACACTTTAAAACCATTATAGAATTTAAACAAAGAGAAAAAAATAGAGAAAAGAAAAATGCTATTTTTTTCATCAGATTTCAAATATAGAGTATCATCAGTGAGAAATAGGTATTTTTTCATGTAGTAGCTGATGCCTGAAAGCCAGGTGAAAATTTCCTCACCTGTGTTCAGTAAAAATGAATACCGCGTTTTAAATTGTGAAATTACCAATGGAACCACACTGTTGCGTAAAATATTGCATAATTGTAGCACCATAGATAGTATCGTGTGTGTGTGTACAAATAGTGTTTGGGTTTAAAATTTATGAAATTGCATTAAATGCAATTGTGTAACACTAAATATTTCAGAGAGTTATTTCACTATTATTCTTTAATCCATGTCTTCACTCCATAACAGAGAAAAGGAAGAGATTTTAAGCATGTATATTTTATAGCTTTGAGAGTTAAGCAGCAGTGCGAGGAGCTGAAAAATTTAGGATTATCTTTAAAACATTAACTCATCCACATTTCATACATGCACCATTTTATAAAATAGGTAAAGAGTTAAAAAGCTTATTTTAAAGTCCTTGCAATGTTATATTCTAATATTCCTCATTTCTCTGATACTTATGCATTTGTGTTAATAACACATTTCTTGCTGGCATAGGGGTTGGAGTTAAATATTTAATTCAGTTTCAGTTCATAGCTAAATCTGTAGCTTCAGCATTTAGTATAGCATGCTTAGCATGTCAGTATGGGTAAGTAATATGTGCACAATTGATTTGTTAGATTAAGTAGCATCTAGTGCTGTATCGCATAAAATTTCACACCATTTCTGTCCAGTGACTTATCTTTACCCCTAAAGTCTGACCAGTTTTTCTATCAATATGCAGCAATCTGTTACTCATTTTTGAAATGCACTAATAAGAACAATTTTTTTCCTGTAAATTTATTAAAAAGGGGCAGTACTTTAATATCTTGTGATAGATACGCTGCTTAAAGCCAGCAAAATGTTTCTGACCTATGCAGGCTAGGGCAGTTATGCTGTGGGAACTGTAGTATCTCAGTCTGTTTCAGAATCAAAAGTAAATAACTCTAAAATAATGGTAACATGATGTTTTTCCTTCCTCAATTTGTATTTCCTGTTTTCATTTCCAAGCCAAACGGTAAAAGAGGATCTGCCTATGTCCCTGAGGTGGACCGAGCTGTCTGTCAGCACTTACCTGTTGTTAACAAGTGAGATGAAGTGCATCATAAGCCAGTCTATCTACAGCCGCACTGCTGAATGGCAAAATGAAGTTTTACTGTCCAGTGCTTTTTCTTTAGAGTAGCACTCGAGTGTGTGTGCTCACTCACACTCACACACACATTCTTCTCTCTTTATAATTATTTTGACAGCACCATTAACAAGAGTTGCCTTAAGGGGCCCCGTAGGGTAAGTGACATGCACGAGGAGAGATTTTCATCCCACAAGTTATGCTGTGATTAAAATTTGGCCTTGTGGCGTGGCTGCCTTTTTCAGAAACAGCTCCTTGTGCTTCCTCGCCCACTGCAGTGCCCAAGACTGCCCCGAGCTCCTCTCCCTCAGCCGCCAGAGCTGCCATGGGGATCGAACCAGCTCTCGGTTGTGAGGCTGTGTTTAGCTCAGTCTCTTGTCTCAGCTCCTCACTCCTAGGACTCTTCTCACATAGAAAAATACAGAAAAACTTTTAATGAAGTGATGACATGGGGACTGTCTTTTAAATCCACAAGAAAAGTTGATTTGATGGAGTGGTGGCATCCTGTGAAGGTGT